ATCTATCTATCTATCTATCTATCTATCTATCTATCTATCTATCTATCCATCCATCCATCCATCCACCCCCCCACCCCCCCCACACATATATGTTATCAGCTAAATGAATGATCTCAGATTTTAAAATAAATTATGAAAGAATGTATACTTACTTGCCCAGTGCAAAGCATTCCATCCTAACAGTAGATCCCTTAGCCGCTATAACTGTGAATGGAAAATGGATCTCAATTTTTGGTTCATATTCTCCCATCACACCTGGAAAATAAAGAAAGATCTTTACAAGTAAAATAGCCAGCAATGAAGTGAGATCATCCTAGAGAAGAATGATATGATTATTAAGGAAAATGATTACAATTAGGGATACATTCACCAATGCAATCTAAACAGTTAGGATTTTCCAATACCACCAAAGCAACATTTCGTTTTTAAAGGAGCAAAATTTTCTTTCTTATGCTAAGTATTCCAAACTAATGGTCAGAATGATGGATATATTATATGACTGTACAGTACTTGGATGATTTGGGGATTTTTTCACTTTAATAAAAATGAGTTAAATTTATAATAAGTAACTCCTCCTTTGACACAGTAAATTTTTTATTGTTCCTCAAAATAATATATCCACTTAAAATATATTAAGATTGCAGTTTCATGAACATTTAGCAGGTTGTGCCATTACTATATCACTCTTCTTTTATCTTCCCAATAACAAAAAATAGTATGGTTATATGATGACAACCATTAGCATGTTAAAATGGTGAAATTGTATAACCAATAGTTTCTTTAATAAATATTATAGGAAAATGTATGAAAACAATATGATTGATTGATTGAGTGCCTTCAAGTTGGTGTTAAGTCTTAGTGATTGCCTACATAGATTCTTTCCAGACTGATTGGTCTTCAGTTTTACTTTGGCATGCTAAAAATTGTAAGGGTTTTATATAATGTAAGTAAATAAATAAAATATAAATGTTATTTTAAAAATCTAAAACTGTATACAATTTGGCTTTGCAAATCTAATATGTATCAAATGTAAAATTGTAATTGGCTTCTTATATATCAAAGATCAATTTTAGTACCTAAGCTTTAACTATGCACTGCTTATAATATAAAAATATTTGTGTATGTCTCTACAACAAGTATGAATTTGGAAATCTCTATAGTGCCTCTCCTTTCCTTGTGAAATAGCTGCCTTAGCTGCAAATTTCCTTAATACATTTTTTATAAAAACAGCTACTATCACAGAGAAAATTAAAATAAACCGATGTTCTTTTGTAAAGAAGAGAACTCTTTAAAAAGAGCTTCATTGGAAACATGTTAGCCTTTATATTAGTTTATTATTGTCACATGGCTCTTTTTATTCTTACCAACAAACAAGACACACTTTTAACTCACTATTTTCATTGGCTCCATTAGACTGATCATTCACATATAAAAAGAAGATATGGTTTAAATATTCTTTGTAGCCCCTATCTAAGGTGCTCCTACAAAGATGAGAGGGTCAGCCAACTAATCAAGGAGAGAAACAACCTAGAACTAAGGAGAAATTTCCTAACAGTGAAAACAATTAATCAGTGGAACAAGTTGCCACCAGAAGTTGTGGGTGCTCCATTACTGGAGGCTTTTAAGAAGAGATTGGACAGCCAATTCTCTGTCCAGTCATTGGTATAGGGTCTTCTATTCAAGTAGGGAGTTGGATGAGAAGATCTCTACAGTCCCTATTCTGTTCTGTCTGATAAACACCTCTTCCATACTTTCATCTCCACAGCCCCTTCCCATATTCCAAAAACATGTTTGCCACACCTCATGCTTTCACCCAGACTCCTGTGTTTAACCCTTTTCATCAAACAAACAAACAAAAAACAATGGACCTTTTCTGTTGCTGTTTCCTTCAAATTTCTGGTGGCTATTTTGGTGAAGCACAAAAACATTTTCCTCCTAAATTATTTGGATGATCCCAATGTCTATGTCTACTTTATACTGCATGCAGAGTTCACTGCCCTTCAGCTGTAAGTTGTTCTGATGATGTCTTACATCTAGTTAGCCCAGAATGAGTTATGAAAATGAGAAAAAGGTACATGCCCAGAGGTGGCTTATGCTTTGTGCAAAATCGAGTGTCAAGTATAAACATCTCAGCCTTTTCTCCACAATAAAGACCAGTTGGGGCCAAACCTTTTTCTTCATCAGTAGAAAGTTGAATGTCCATGACTTCACAGCTTATAATGAGAAACTTATTTGGGTGCATTAGAGATGGCCTGTCCACATGCAATGCACACTGTTCATAAAAGAGATCACTTCGGTGGGCTCATGAATGACAGGGTATGATATGTTAGCCCCAACTCCACTGTGTATCTCATGCCAGGTTCTCAGGGAAAGCTGTCAGACAGTAAGAAACACAATAGGAGCAAAGTGGAGAGGTAAACAAATATTTAATTTTCTACCTGCCATCATGCCTGGAAATCTGCTGCATATTGGTATTTGGGAGGATGTAATTGGGCATCCTGTCAATGTAAAGAGCTGAAGGAAGAATTGGAAAGAGCATTTCATGGCTATTATGTTTCCCCTAAGCTGATCATAGAGGGAAGCACAGGTAGGTATCTTCTCTGGCAACTGAGGTTAATGAGCTATCATACATTGCATGTCCAACATCTTGTTGTGCAACCATATAAACCTTTTGACATATCATTAACAAAGAGGTTAACAAAGCCTTTTCTTATTCATCAATGGCAGCAGCCAGTTGTAATCAAAGAAACTCAATAGATGAGTCTAACTGCACTTTGAGTAAGCTATACGTAGTTATTTCTTTAACAAAGACCAAGTGCCATTTTGCATGATCAAAGACAGTATCTGGGTCCAACTGGGGCATTTTTCATGTCTGCATTTATTGTTTCTTGCCATCTTTGCTTCAGCCTTCCCTGCAGGCACTTTACATCTATATTGAAGTGGAAGGCAAAATCTGTCTTCCTAAAACTATTATTTTGGAATTTAACCTGTTGGAAGGATAGAGAACAAGCCTTCATGTTCTGGTTGTCACCCTTCCAGGTATTTCAAGAGCACTAAGATACCCTTCCTGGCACCATCCTTTTCTTTTCAAGACTTAACATTTTCACTCTCTAGAATTTATCTTCTTAGGACTGGGTTTCAAGTACCCTGATCATCCTCATTCCCTTCCTTCGAACCTATTTCAGTTCTTTGAATCATTCTTATAATATTGGTGCTTAGAGCTTCTCTGTAGTAGTCCCAGACCTAGAGGTACACACCTTAAGCATTATTAGTTAGGTGGATGTAACTCACAGAATTGTTTACAATCTGTTCACTATTACTTGGACTTTTGCACCACCTGCAATGTGCTTTCACAGTGTTTCATCCCTGTAGGGAGAATTATTGCTCCGTGCTACCAGGTAGTCTTAATCTCTAACAAGCATACTCTAAAAATAATGGGGAAACACAGAATTAAACTTTGCAACCCAAGAGGTCTATCAGTTGGAATTTATTATTGTGGGAGGGGAGGCCTTTAAACCTCTGCTGGGAAGCAAAACAATGCAGCCCATGAAATTGATTGCATTACGATATCATAATATCTTGCATGCAGCGCAAACTAATGAGCACTGTCATGTGGCTGCTGGGACTATAGAGACAATACGGCAAGAGTCTAAAAATGTCTTTCAGGGAAGGACATTTGGTAGGAAAACTTAAACTTGACATATATTCTAGCATGAAAACTTCCTAATGGTTTAGATTCCTAAAAGGAGGAGGAACCATTAAAGCAGCAAATAGGTTATAATTCTGATGGACACCAAAACAACATGGATTAGAAACTTGGTTATAGGGTCTAAACTCCCTGAAAAACAATCCTTTTGAATAGATCTCAAATCTTTGAACAGATACTAAAGCAGAATCACTATTCGCTACATGGGATTTTTCCCTCTTGGAAAAATACTTTTATTATTATTTGACATTCAACAAAAGTGGGTTGAACAAGAAGACAAGCTACTTAACCACTCAACCAACCAACCCAAAGCCTTTTGGCTAATACACAAACTTGTAATCAACATCCATAGCTTCTGAAACGTTCCAATATGGAGAATCAAAAGCTAGCGGCATAAGAATATTTGCTGATGATCTCTTTCTTACCGGGGAAGGAAATCCTGAAGCTGAAGCAATAAGTGACTTGTTATTAGCAATAGCTAACACTGTCACATAAAGTTAAGCTAGTTAATAAAATTAATTTGGCTTTAAAGTAGACTTAAAGTACTTTCTACTTGAGACAAAGAGAACTGGCAGAAAACCAAGCAGAGCTAAAGAGAAGAACAAACAAGGAAGCTTTGCTTGCTGTCTCGTCTCCAAATGGTTAACAGGATAAAAGATGTAAAGAACTCATGGTTCTGGAGCTCCACATCGAACAGTACTAATAACTGCATTTTGCACTTTAACTGAATTTCATCTCTCTCTCTCTTTCCCTCTCTCCCTCTCCCCACCCCTCTCTTTCTCACACACCATAGAAAACAACCTTTCTGTGCCTTTATTGCTTAGTTTGAAAGAAATAGGTTATTGGATACATTCCAGAATGGGGAAACAACCCCATAAAAATATATGAACTTGAAAAGTGCACTTAATGATCAAACAGCAAATGTTGTAAGCTCAACCGCATTTGTATTTCCTTATCCTTTGCAAATTTTCTGATTGTTTTTTGTTTGCTTGTTTGTTTGTTTTAGTAAAGGCACTTCAACTGCTTCCAGTTTGGTAACAGGGACTTCCACAAATCTTCCAAAATGCTCTTGGAACTACTTGTAAACACTTATTGAATAATTCCTCTGAGTGTCGAACTCATTGTAAAAGGCTGTTAATGAAATGATGCATGATCCATTTTTTTTCTGATGAAACTTTTTATCTCTTCAGATAGAATTTTAAATTGTTTTTTTAGGTCTGCACAAAAAGAAATTGAATAGTGAGAAAGAACTGATTGTCAAGGACATCTGCACAAATGAGGTATTCATTTTATTCAGAATCCATTCAAGGATTTCTTGATATTTTTATTTAATTTGGTTCATATCAAGAAGATAAGTTTCCCTTTGCGGCACAGCTCTAAGGAAATAAAAGATTAATATAAAGGCAAGCGAATGTCTATATTTGTAGGATTTGACATAAAACTATAATGTAATTTAGTCATCTCAATGAAGATAAATATACAGATATGTTGTCTCATCAGCATTCTTGTCATAGAATACCAAGGCCTAGCTGCATTGACTAAAACAAAA